CAAGCAACGAAGAACTACACACTGAGTTCGATAATCCTGATCGAACGCTTGCAACAACTATTAAAATCGCCATGAGAAGGCCGTTCAAGCTGCTCATCACCCAGCCCATTGTGCAAGTTCTAGCTTGCTACATGGCCTACCTGTATGGCCTCATGTATCTGATGCTCTCGACCTTCCCCAGCTTATGGGTCACGCGCTATGGCATGACTATAGGGATTGGTTCTTTGAACTTCATCTCCATGGGCATGGGCTTCTTCCTCGGCACACAGATCACCGCACCCCTCAATGACGCCCTCTACCGCCGCCTAAAGAAACGCAACAACGGCATCGGTAAACCAGAATTTCGCATTCCAATCATGATCCCTGCGTCTCTTCTCGTTCCAATCGGCCTTTTTTGGTATGGTTGGAGTGCCCAAGCGCAGGTACATTGGATCATGCCTAATATCGGTGCTGCGATATTTTGCGCGGGTGTTATTGTGGGGTTTCAGTGTATACAGACTTATCTTGTTGACAGCTATACACGGTACGCTGCGAGTGCTATCGCGGCGGCGACGGTGCTCAGGTCGTTGGCTGGGTTTGGATTTCCGTTGTTTGCACCGGCCATGTATGACAAGTTGGATTTTGGATGGGGAAATAGCGTGCTGGGCTTTATTGCCTTGGCTTTGGGTGTCCCAGCGCCGTTCATGCTATGGAAGTTTGGGGAGAAGTTAAGGAGTAGTAGCAAATTTGCCGCGGGCTGAAGGTGTCGCAGAAGCGTCAATACCCGCCTCGTAATGTGGAATGCAACACGCGGGGGCTTTATGTTGCGAAATCAGATTAGACGAGAGGGCTAATCGAAGTGGAATACTTGAAAGCATACTAGAATAGCCGCACGCTATCAGTCGTGACTTGAGTTCGTCATTCTAAACACGTTCTTCGTAAAACACAAGTCGTGAGCGACAAATTGTCTCTATCATTCCGCCCTTTGTCCACAGCCTAGCTATGTAGAGCTGTTTTTCCAGCTGGTACTAAAAGTATGTCCGACGCGATGGCCGATGACGCCAACTGCGTGTCCATCTCCGTCGTCAATTTCGTAATGCAGCGATACATTGAGCCAGCTTCGTCAGTTCCACCTCTCAGTCTTCCTAATCACACCCTGGAGTATAGCAATTAGAGCATCCGTAGATATATCCAAGATCGACATGTAAAGAAAGCATCGTGAGATGACGGCTGCAGCTTTATCGTCACCCTGAGCATCTTTGGGGCGTCGGCGACACACCAGCCGGGCAACACTCCAGCGAAGCAGCTCAATGCTATCTCAATCATCCCGCATACCAGAGCGCGCCTTCAATGACCAGCCCAAACTAAGACCAGGCCCCAGTCTTAGTCAAGATCGCATTCTCCTCTTGGTTGAGGTGTCTGACAAGCTACCTAGGGAGTGGGGGGTGTGCGATTGGGACCGTGCCCTAGCAACCCGCGAACTTCCCCGCATAAACACACTTTTGCTCGACCAGTACTTGCGCCGCAGAGGCCGTTACTCTAACAACCTTTCGCGTCGAGCCCTCAGATACTCTACATAATACCGAAATGTCCGACGAAGATCTCGAGCAGATAAGACGCGCGCGCCTGCAGCAGTTACAACAACAGGGCGGGGGAAGCGGAGGACAAGGAGGCGAAGGCGCCGAGCAAGATTCGCGAAAGTAAATACAATTATACACGAAGATCAAGGTTTCTTACTAAGGCAGAGTTACAGGCAGCAAGAGGGTACGTTTTCAGAATCTCTCCTGGCGCAGACATGCATCACTTGACCACACACTCCCCCTTCGCCCACTCGTCCAAACCCCGCCGTCCACTAGCAACCACGGGCTAACCCTTCCCATCAGCCGACCAGCGTTCCTCCATTCTCTCACAAATCCTTCTCCCCGAAGCAGCCGACCGTCTAGGGCGTATCCGCCTTGTCAAGGAATCGCGCGCAACCGACATCGAGAACAGGCTTATAATGCTTGCGCGGACTGGCCAATTACGACAGAAGGTTACAGAAGATCAGCTCAAAGAGATACTGGGGGCTGTAGCAGAGCAACAGGAGAAGGAAGAGCAGAAGATTGTTGTCAACAGGAGGGGAGGGAACTGGGACGATGATGATGAGCTCGAGGAACTCATGAAGGATGTATAGGGAAGCGAGGATAGGTAAACAAAGGGAGAGAGACACACACAGATGCTGGGTGTTGCATTAGGCGGTGCTTCTGGGACATGCAAGGCAGGTAGTCTTGCGCATGAAAGCTAAGGTACGACTTCTCATGGCAACTTCACGACGTGCATCAAGTCGTACATGATTTGTGACTATTGTCCATCTGCCGGTGGTTGTTCAATACTCGCTACTTAGTTCTCAATCATGACGAATGATAACATGTGGATTAGTGAAGAAGCAAGCACAAGAGAAGAACAACATCAGATGTGCCGTTCGATAAAACCGCAGCCGCAAATGGGAGCAGTACCACCATCCGCTTGGTGCAAACAGTGTGCGCAGTTGAAAAGAGGGTTCGGACGAAGTGAGGCTATAGATGCCGCGTGAAAGACTCAAACAGTGTTCTAATGCTAGGTAAGCGCGGGTTTCTACCAGTATACCATCTTCCGAGTGTTATCTGAGGTATAGATGAACAAGCCAACCTGTCGCAAAGGCCATGACAAGCATTTGCATGTAACCCCCAAATGAAAGTACCGGATTCGATCACAAGCGGGATCTTGGAGTTGTCGTAGGCATTGAAACCAACGATCTCACGTCGCTGCCATCCTGGCCATACCCTCCCTATCCTCCGCGCTCAAGGTATTTGTCTTGGCAGCTTCCTTCCATCTCTCAAGCTGCTCATACTGCTCATACTCCAGCTTGCCTTTCAATAACTTCAACAGCTTTGGTGTGAACTTTCCCGTTGCATATACGACACCATCGTACTGCTTTGCGAAGAGCAAGATCACTAGCGTTAAGAAGAGTACGGGGCCGTCGGAAGCTTTTTGTTTCTTGATTCGGCGAAGCATGTCGTCGAGCATCGATTGCTTGGCAGCAGCCAGCGAATCTGTAGATGGATGGTTGATACCTTGTTTTTTGTTGAATTTCTCCAAAGCTGAAGATAGTGATGTATTATCCAGAGGCGTCGTGGACTCCAGCACACTCGAGAGCTTGGTAACATTCTTTCTTGTTTTGCGGCTGAGGACTAGACCCTGCGCTCGTGCTTTGGCAATAGTATCGGGTATAAGGTCCTTGTGTGCGTAAGTTGCAAAGACCTGAGCAAGCTGGCTGTGCACCTTTTGGTCCATGACTGAAACTAAACCGGCGCTGTATATCCGATATCGGGTGAGCATGCGATCTGTCCAGTACATGGCAAAGTCCTCTTCATTCAGTGTTTCGAACGAGGACACGTGGAACCAGAAGCGCTCTTCTAATAACTTCTCAACTGGTTTTTGTTGGAGGAGAAGGCGCTGAACAAGGCCTGTGGGAGGAATCATGTCTTTGATCTTGTCTCGAGTGAATTTCACGTCTTCCACTAGGGTTGGATCGTCGTGTAGACTTTGCCATTGTGCCTTTGCAGCTTCTTTTGCGTAGCCAGCGAGCTCGTCGAGTGCTCCGTCTCGGCGCCTTTCAGTGAGTATCAGAGTGCCGACGCGCACTATCTTCAGCCCTCCAGTGGTCTCGGAGAAGTGAGCGACAATGGAGTTCTTGGCTCGGCCGGCCACCTGCTCCCTTATAGTTGGTGGAAGACGGGAGCCAATCACTTCGGTGACATCAAGGGTACAACCTTCTTGTTCAAGGATGCGTACGCAATCTTGCTCTAACCTGGAGATCCAGATCAGTGATACAGCGAAAGAGTCTATTACCTCAATGCCTGAGAGTTGCTGGAAGTAAGACAATGCGACTTGGGAAGACGGGAAAAGTTCGATGAAGTCGGAGGCGAATCTTTGCACATCGAGATAGGCAAGAGCGCCGGACTGCAGATCGTAGACTGTGGTATCGCGTTCGGATTCTAGATATCGCTTGGGTGTGCACAAAACGCTAACGTCAGTTTCCTGGATGTTGACCTTGGAAGTAAGATTTTCAGACTGCAAGAGTCGCTCGAGAGTATGCAGAATGAACCATGTAGGGGGATTGTCAGGCAAATCAGCTGGTTTGATATTGAGAGTCCTGTACAGAGTGAGCATGCGATGCATCTAAGGCAAGTCCTGCACTTACCGGACATCATCGACCGTCTTTTGAATCATACTCTTTACTATGTCCGCGATCTTGTGAGCATAGGCCTTAGCGTAGATGTAGCCGTTAGTTTCCAGGACGTTATAATCTTGACTGGACAGGAGGAAGTCAAGACTCTTGGAAGAGACACGGTGCTGGGCAATGAATTCGGCCTTGGATGCCAGTCCCCCAGATGACAGGCGAGTGACTATCGTGTCTCGCTCATCTATGGGAATAATGCTTTCCTCGTCCGCGCTGAACAAACATAGCTTGGGGTGGCTGTGGACTAGTTGATGGACAAGTAATCGACCTATGTCGAGGTCGTTGGCCAATGTGGAAACCGGTATCCGCTGTGTCTCTGGTGCATGCTTCAGTAAATGTAGCCAAGAGAGACTACGAACGCTCACCTTTGGTCACGCGGCTTCTGAAACGAGCCTGGACAAACTGGAGCGTAACGAAAGCATGGCCGCTGGAGGATAGCGCAAGCCGCGGAACAAAATCGGAAGTGTCTTGCGGAGGGAAGAGGGCGAAGATGTCCTTCACATCATGTGCGGTAAACATGCCAGCTGGACGTTGGGTAGCGCTGCAGACTAGATTGCCAACATGTACTGTTCAGGAACAGTGCTGTGAGCTCGAACGGTTCGGCGGCGTTGGAGTATATAGTGCAAGGGAAAGCGTCAGAGGCTGGATTGCGCTGATTGGTGGGGAGCGGGCATCGGGCGGCAGAACACCGGGATTGAACAATGTTGTGGCTCATGGTCGAGTGCGCGCAGACATCCAACCCATTCCGCCCACCGCCACCATGTCTCAATTCCGCGCGGCCAAGCTGGACATTGGATGTTTCGCAAAGATTCGCAATATCCGCGACCACACCAAGCGGAAGGTGTACTCGGAGAATGAGCCAGAACGGCATGCGCCTCTGCACCTAATGCTCCCATGGCGCAACGACTGACGACGACACAGACAAGCTCTGCGATACCTGATCCGCAATACCACGCTTCCGCAACGAGTCCGCGCACAGGCTCAGCTCCAGCTCTCGCAGATGCACTGCTACACACGCTACACCCAGATCAAGAACAGGTGTATAATGGGCGGCAAGGGCCGTGGTGTCTTCAGCGACTTCAGAATGGGCCGAGTATGCCATGGCCTTCTCTTCGCGCGATGCAGGGCTGACGATGCTACAGTATCAATTTCGCGTAAACGCTCTCGCGGGGAACCTGCCGGGCGTGAAGAAGGCAAGTTGGTAGCTGTGCTTCTACGAGAACCCGACTGGTTCCATGTACAATCCCACCTACTTTTGGCTACACATGTAGCCTTGCACATGGCCGCTCTTCGGGCGCACACTGTGAGACATTGCGTGCGAAATCTTCGTGCTTAACCCATCTCACTGTCTACTTTGCCCTCCCCTCGCTCTCTCACCGTGCGAGACACCCTTTCCTAATCGGTTTGCTCTCACCACGCGCTACAAACGACGGCAGCGGCTACCCACCGCGCCAGTGATAAAAGCCGACTTCCGTAGCCATTACACCTACAATCCCTACTCCCGCAATAGCTCTGGCTGCCGTTTTCTAGCAGCTCACTTCGCCACTGTCTACGGTCCATAGACGCCCTCAAGCATCTACGTCAGCATGTTCCGCCGCATAGAAGACACTCTGGAACCGGATCCATCATTTCCAGCCGACCTGAACCAACTTGGCTTCTTCATCAACCTCTCAGGTCATGTCCGTATGATCGACGCCCCCGAGAAGGCCTATGTCTACCACGCGACCAACAATGAGCGCGTCAACGAGGTGCGCCGCGAGGCCATGCAAAGTACATTCCAATCTCCATTGAAACACTCGCAGCTAACACATCACAGCCTGCCAGCGCAAGGAAGCAGAGAAGCGCCTGTCCTACCTCGGCCTCGAGTGCATCCACCTTCCCGACTTCGCCATGACCAAGCCCAGTGGTCCACATGTACCTATCCTTGCTCCACCGCCTGACCTCCTCAAGACGCGAAAGCGATTGATTGTACTGGTAAACGACACCATGCAAGATCTAGGCATCCTGGCGTATAGACAGTTGCAGCGGGAACTCGGCATCAACGGTGGCTCAGTCGTCAACTTTGCCAAGGAGATGGTCAAGTGCTCCGACACTGACAACACCGCTGAAAGGGACGCGAAGATTTTCAAAGATGGTCATGTTCTCCAAGACAAGACTACCACTCCTGCTTTGATTGTCTTGAACGCGGGCCAGCTGCTGTACTCGCACAAGTACGACCAGGCCATGACTCTACGCAGTTGGTCCGCCATGCCACGCAAGTCAATCGCCCACGACATGGTCCGCATCCGTGACAACGAGAACCGTGTTCCAGGTCATGAAAATGCCAAGAAACATGTCAAGACTGTCTTTGACGAAGTCATCTGCAACCCCGATCGTGTTGCAGCTGACGCAGAAGTCTACGTCATCGCTATTGAAGACGGAACGGAGAGTATCTTGAACCTGCTCACGCACGACTGTACGTCTCCTGGCCCTGCTTTCACCTGAGGAGTTTACACTAACGTATTGTTATAGTCGGCAAGTATGGTACCCGTATCACGGCCATGGCGTTCATTCACTCCTTGATCGACGACTCCCAAATCAAAGATGAACAGATTCGCGCTTTCATGCATCAGCGCACACGTCAGTGGCGATTCAGCGATCTGACATGCAACCCCCAGCACTGTGTCGACTTACCGACTGACTACAATCGACAAGTCAACGGGCCTTGTTCTGCAGACACACCATCAACCATGCAATCAATCAAGCACATGTCTTGGCACGCTTCGATTCCTACAGGCCCAGTCTCGGCTCTAACGAAGGCTTTCCACAGCCTCGCTCTCAGCGTCACCTCTTCGGCCGGGGCTTCCACTCCAACCGCAACATCAACCTCTACTAGTGGAGAAGAAAGCACAGAATGGTCCTCGGGTCAAGCTGTCATCTGCCCTACCTTCGCGGGCGGCGACAATTCGGTTGGTGAATGCATCTTTACCTACCCTCCCACCCAGCATGCCATTCTCTCTTTCTTCCAAGACGTCGCGCAAGACCCGGTCCACTATCGCAACCCACCTGGCCTCCAAATCTTTACCGAAGCCCCCAAGCCCAGCCCCGAAAATCCTCTTGCACTATCTTCAGACCACGAGAATGACGCTGGGCTCTACTTGCAAAATCTCTTGCCGCAGACGACGTCTGAGCACGCTGAGCTAGATGAAGCTCGCGAGCGGCTCGCTGAGTTACAAGTTGCCTTGTCTGCCTGCCCTACTGATGCTGCAGAGCTAGACAAGGGTCGCGTGAAGTTGGAAGTTAAGGTGAAGAGCATGGAGGCGAAGATTGAGGCTTTAGAGATCAAGGCGCTGAGTCACGGCGGACTGGCCGCGGGTGAAGTGGTCGAGAAGCGCGAGGATTGGAAGCCGCAGGTTGAGGGTCCCCAGGTACCATTTGCAGGGACCATGGTGGATAGTGAACTGTTGAAGGCGGCGGGGCTCATGGAGTCTGTGGATGAAGAAAAGGCTTTTGTTTGAATGGCGAATGGCAGCTCTAATCGTGTAGCGAAGATGAGGGGATGATGGCAAGTCCCGGATGGAAAGGACACAAAAGCGTTTGTTTTTCAGCCATCCTACGCACCACGAACTCCTCCTCTTGTTACGCCAGCACGAGGAAGACGTCTTTTGGCTGCTCGGCGATGGAGTTAGGGTCATCTACCTTATTTGCATCATGTCTTTGAGAATAAGACCACAGCCTCAATCTCGCTTATCGTTGTCCTCAGGCCTAGGTTCAGTACTCAACTGATTCCCGTTATAGAACTGTTGAGGTACATCTCTTGCCCGCTGGTCCGCCAGCGTTCTTACCCTCATCCCACCCGAAGTTGCCTGATCCAGCACAGGATCGTGACTGGGATCCCGGGTAGGTCTGCTGCCCATGGTACGACCACCACCGCCATGGTTGTTACTGCTACTACCATCACCACCTTGCTCGTGTTGCGCCCCGTAGCCTATAACGGAACTGATGGTACTCCCCACGTAGCCAACAGTAGAAGTGAGAAGCCCAAAGGCCCCGCCAACGATGCCCGTCGCGGCTCCTGCTATACCTCCTCCAGTGCCCCCGGAATACGCATCCGAGTAACCCTTTACTGGCACCAGTACCAACGTCGCACTGGGCGCTAGATCAATATCGCCCAACTCGACGGCCTCGTCGCCGGCAGAGAGCTCACGACTGGGCGATGGAGCGAGTATATGTCGGAAAAAGTAAGGAGGCAGTTGTTTGTTGTTGATGTGCTCGTCATCCTGGGTCAATTTCCCAAACTCAGTGTCAACCCAGGACCGCACGTCGGTCTGCAGGGTGGCGGAGCGAGGGAATGTAGAGCGAATGGTGCGGCCATCGAACAAACGAACATTGAGAGCGACGGTTTTGGAGTTGGTGCCTCGCGAGGACGTTGGCACTGGCTGTGATGTGTCGGGGGCTCGTAGTGCGCCCTTGTTCCTCTCCTTTTCGCGTTCTGCTTTGCGCAATTCGGCATCTACTTTGCGCGCTGCTTTGTCGGCTTCTATTCGTGCTTTTATACGGGCTAACTCTTCGGCATCTTCTCGTTTCTTCTTTCGCAGGGCGTCGCGGGCTTCTTGTTGGGCTTTGGTGGCGGATGTGGATGGGAGAGTGGGGTGCTGGGAGCCTGTGGCTTTTTGCTTGCCTGGTGTGTTGGACGTGAGGGTGGGTAGTGAGGTTTCGGGGAGGCCATACAGGTCGTCTTCGGCTGCAGCATTCGCTATACTATTCGTAGGTTCTGGTGTGCTTGCTTGTGGGGGAGAGGTTGGTGCTGCGTTGGAGGCTGGGATGGGATTCGCTCCCAGGACGCGTCGGATTGAGTTGATAAAGTCATCTCTCGTGGCATCGTTCTTGAGTTGAACTTGGAGTTGGCCGTTCTGGATGACGACGAAAGTGGGCACGCTCGAGACATCGGAGAAGGCAGCCAGAAAACCGGCTTCGGTCGAGCCCGCTTCGAGTCGCAGGACGACCGCTTTTTGGTGGAGCAGAGTCGACAGCTAGACATGCATCATCAGCGCGTGTTGTGAAAACCTGGCCGAGTCCCAACGTACCCATCCGCTCTTCAGCCACTCGCCTTCCCACTCGTGGCTCGTGGCGCCGTCGTCTACGCAGCTAGTCAGTCACGATGCTTCCCAGATTCCGATAGTGCACCGTCACGTACCTCGAACGAAGCAGGCAACGAGTTTCTGCTCCTGAATGGCAAGCGCGATTCCGCTCTGTAGGCTGCCTTGGTGGAACATGTTGGTGGGTGGTGGTGGTGGCTCCATGTCTGCACTACCGCGGGGATTAGCCTGGGAACCTGCTCGGCGCGTGGTACCGAGGGCAGACGACGCACGAGCATGGCCGGCGGCCGTCAGCGCCCGCTTCATTCAGTGGCTTATTCACACGGCGTTGGAGATGTGCAAAGGGAAAAGATGCAATAAACAGTTCTATCGGTAATGCCAAGCCCATGAATCCTCCACGCCGAAGAAGGGTAATGCTGCAATAAGCCAATGCTAGACTCGCTCTATATCCAAACATCAAGCCAGAAGGTGCTGCACAGCATGTGCCCCTTCTGCTTGGTCCAGCCGTTCCGCTTGGGCTTCCCAATGATGCCGACCGTGTACAGTGTCGGGAGTGAGTGGCATATCCAAGTTGTTGGTCTTTTCCCAGTCAGGCCAAAGCCGTGGCCCCTGGGCCCTGGTATCGGCTTATAGGATGGTGCACTTCTTCTTGTTCTTGGTCGCCGACTGCTGGGGACGGGGGCTGAGGACGGCGCTGGGGCAGGTTAGGACAGTCATGCAGGGAGCACATGGGGACGTACCGAATAGCTTCGTCAAAGACACTCTTCAGGTTGCGCTGTGTGAGGGCGGAGCACTCGAGGTACTTCTGCGCCTTGATCTCCTTTGCGACCATGACGGCCTGCTCGTACTGGATGGGCGCCATCTTCTTCTGCCTCAACGACTCCTTGGTCGCCTCATCGTCCCTCAGATCGAGCTTGGTGCCGACGAGGATAATGGGAACGCCGGGCGCGTGGTGATCTATCTCAGGGTACCACTGGCAGGGGGTTAGCGGGTGCGCACGCGGCGTGGCGGGCGGCTTGGTACCTTTGCCTTGACGTTGTCAAACGACGGGGGGCTGACGATGGAGAAGCAGATGAGGAACACGTCCGTCTGGGGGTACGAGAGCGGGCGCAGTCGGTCGTAGTCCTCCTGGCCGGCCGTGTCCCACAGCCCCAGGCTTATGGGCTTGCCGTCGACCATGACATTTGCCGAGTAGTTGTCGAAGCTGGGCGAGTTAGCTCACGCGTGGTGCAGCGAGGGGCGGGCGTACACGGTGGGGATGTACTCGCCCGGGAAGGCGTTGGTCGTGTACGAGATGAGGAGACATGTCTGCGCGGTTAGCAGGCTGCGCGGCTGTCGCGGGGGCGGCGAGGCTCACCTTGCCTACAGCGCCGTCGCCGGTCACGACGCACTTGAGCGATTGCGTCGCGGGAGCAGCCATGGTGCGCGAGGTGTCGCCCGGGGAGCGTGGCTTTGGCGGACCCGGTTCGGCGGAGCAACGGGGCGGCGAGGGTGGAGCGGATCGAGTCGGGCGCAGGGCAGGGCAGGGCAGGCAGGGCGGCAGGCAGGCAGGCAGGCAGGGCAGGGCAGGGCAGGGCACGATGCAGATGCAGCGAGGCGGCGCGTGGGAGGTAGAGGACGCACCGGCGAGACTGCGCAGCACGATGCGGGTAGCAGGTAGCTTCTGTGAAGGCGCGGGAGCTATCTGCAGCGTAGGGGGGCGTTTTATCGCTTGGCAGGCGGCGGGTCACGAAGCGAGCTGGAGCTGGAGCGACCAAGCTCGACGAGCGCGTACCCTCTTGAAACCCTTGTGCAACACGCTGCTCACGCCTGCCATCCGCCGTGCTAGCTAGCTACGGGCTCGTGCTACGCCTACATGCTTCAATACCACACAAACAGTCCCTCGCCGCCTTGCCTGTCCTCGCCCACCAGCTGCTTGCACACCACCAGCCTGACCACGGCCTCGTGCAACTCTCTCATGTCGAGAATGCCGCGCTTCTTCCCGTCAATGTACGACACGTCCACCACGACTCGTTTCAAGTTGGCCGTCGACAAGGCTCCCTCTTGCAAGAGCGCCATCAACCGATCCGGTGTCCCAACCCCGTAGTCGATTCTGCTCTTGCTCAAATGCGCGACCTGGTCTGCGAGCTTCAGGTGCTTTGCAAACAGCTTGGCCACGCTGGGCTTCTCGACTCCCTGGGTAGGTAGCCCAGACTTGAGACATCGGCAGACGTCTGCCGCTCGCATCCCAGAGCCCGTCACTACAAGCGTGTGGGGAGCGCCGGGCGGCTTGCATGGCGTCGCCTCCAGCGTCCCTGCCTGCTTCTTGAGAAAGGCAGGCAGCTTGTCTGTAGTTCGCGGCTCCGTCCAGCTGCTGCTGTCCTGCACCGTCCGCGCTGCTTGACGTCAGCCTTTCACGACATGTCT